AAAATTTTAATTAGTGATTAACATGACCAATTACTGTAATGATATATTATATTTAACATATATATAAATGAATTTTTATTAATTTGAATAGATAAATATTATATCTTTAAATAAATATATTTTTTTTAATAAAACTACTTTTTAATAAGCGTATATATGGATAAATTAAAATAATTTAATCCAAAATAAGCCATTAAAATGGCTATCTCGGGTAATTTGGCTTGGAAATTCAATTCACAAAGCTAAATAAGTTTAAATTAATTAAAAAAAATTATATAAAAAAATTTTCTCTTTCTTTTTCTTCAATTACTTGTAAGAAGATGAAATTAATAAAAGAGTAATTAGAAAATTTAAAAATTTAATTTTTTTATTTAATTTAATTAATTTAATTTTTTTTGACTTTATAAGCCACCGCAAAATTTTATTTGTTGATTGCGCATTAATAGTGACCGAGTAATTTCACTATTTTGGTATTGGGGCGCAGTTTTTTGGTGTTACTCTGATATTTCTGATATTAGCGTTAGTGTTGCATTCACCATTCTCCAAAAAAGCAACAAAAAATTTAAAACTGCTGTATTTACGTTCTGCTCGTTCAATAGGATTGACATTTATAAAAGTATAAAATAACAAGTTCAAGGTGTGAAAATTTAACATGAAATTAAAAATAAGTTGTTTTCCTGTGAAGCTTTGGCTGTTAATCGAAAAGTTTTTTTTTTTTTATCGCTGCTTTATCTATTAAATTTATAAATCAATCGATAAAGGTAGTTTTTTTTATCGTGCTTTATTTGTTGAAAACTTTACTCGAAAAACAAGGGTAATATATACTTTGGAGTGACCTGATAACTAATTTTTGGTTGCGAATAAATTTTCCAACTCCAAAAACAATCGTAGATTTAATGAAAATGACGGTATGTTTTATCCAACGAGTGCTAAAAGTGAACGTTTCATTTTTTATATGACTTTATTTATACTTCTTCCTGTTTCGACTCATTTTTATTAATACCAGAAAGCCTTCATTTTTATTTCATTTTGAAAAAACACATTAAATTAACGTATAATTTGAATTACTTTATATAAACGTAATGTAGGAAATTAGCATACCAATTACTAAAACCGAACCAATGGATTGGTCACCGGCAAAATCAGAATCCTCGTTACCTTCGCCTATAGGGTCACGTTCACGATCCGGTTCGCCACCGCCTTCAACAACTAGAACGGTTACAATCAATTTATTCCCTCTCTCTGATTCAATAGAATTTGCTCCGAAACATTTAAGTTTCAATCCTGATCAAGAAATTAAGGTTGGCAGAGTTAGTGGAAGCCGTAATCAAAAAGAAGCTAGACAAGATAATGGAGTATTCAGTTGCGATGTTATGTCTAGGGAACATGCGTTACTGAAAGAAGAACACGGAAAAGTAATTATCAATCGTAATGCAAAATTTCTATTATCTACTTGTTAAAAAAAAAATTTAACTTTATATAATTATGCAGATTTTGATTAAAGATTTGAAAAGTACACATGGTACCTTCATTAATACTATAAGGTTAGGCGATGGTTCAGACGAGAGTGACTGGCGTGTCTTAAACCACGGTGACGTTATCACTTTTGGTCATAGTGTTAGGCGTAATCAAAGTAGGTTATATTTTTTTTCAATTCCCTTTCGCAAGCATTTTTTTTTTTTTTTAAAAAAAAAAATAAAAGATATAAATCCCTAATGATTCATTTATATCTTACAGATTTGTACAAGCACCTATCAGCATATATTTTTTACCCTAAAGAAACGAAAGACGATACACTTCCTCCAAACAAATTTAACGGAGCTACACCAAATGCATTGCCTGTTCCAAGTCCTCCCACATTTATTAAAACTGAACGTATTTCAGAAAATGAACCATCACCTTCGTCAGTAGTTTCGAAGGAACCGGTTTCGGTTGTAAGTACAGGAACTTCAATCCTACAAAGGTAAGTGTGAACTTTTTTATATAAACATCGAGTTGCTGTTGGATTATATCATTTTCAATAAACATTTTTTCGTTTTCAATAGTAGAAGTGAAGGCCCTGCGTCTTATTATATTGCAAAATCCGGTGGTTTACCCTCTGCTACGTCTGGTATAACCAACCCTCATGGCAACAAATTCGGTGGACTGAATAGCTTATCCGTTACTAAACCGCGCATCACTGATAACGTCACACATACCAGTGAAGGTAAGTATAAAGGTATCGGATTCTTATTTAATATTCTTTTCAGTAACATCATTGTTTTATTTGTTTGCCAACCCCTAGCACCTGTTACTGAACCAAAACAGCAGAAACAAGAAGTTAGCCTCAATTCTAGTACAAGTGAAGAAATGTTGTCTTCTATTCAAAAGTTAAATATTGGTCAGTCTGATGAAAAAACACATATAAAAGTTGAACGTAAAGAGCTAACAGCACAAACAGCAAAATCTGATCAGGACAAACGTAGTGCTTCTACGAAAAATGATGAAAAAGTCGAGAATTCAAAAAATGTTGAAAATGTACATAAATCCGTGTCTTCTGAAAGAACTGATGAGGTTACAGAAGAATCAACTGTTATTCGATCATCAGTTTCCACTACAAGAACAACGGTTTCATTTGCTGCACCCGCTCCCGTTAAAGAAAGATTATCTACACAAGGTACAAGAGAAACAAAACAACCATCAAAAATCTCTCGACGGGAGAAAGATAATAGCAGGGAGAAGGATAATCACAGAGAAAAGGAAAACTACCGAGAGAGGGAGAGCCACAGCAGAGAGAGGGAGGGCCACCGAGAGAAGGAAAGCCACAGCAGAGAGAAAGAGGGCCACAGGGAGAAGGAGAGTCACAAAGAGAAGGATATTCACAAAGATAGAGAGGTTCATAAAGAGGCTCACAAGGAGAGAGAGAGCCATAAAGAGAAGGAATGCCTGAAAGAGATAGAAAGCAATAGAGAGAAAGAGAGTAATACAGATACTGATAAGTGCGAAAATGTCAGTAATGGTGAAGGACCCTCTCATGTGACCGAAGATGACACCTCAACTGCTGCTACTTCAAACATTTTACGCAAACGGAAATACGAAGAAGTTGAAGAAGAATTAAATGGACCAAGAGAAGTAATTGTTCTCAAAAAAAGGTTGGCGGAATTAGAAGAAGTTGCTATTCATGAAAATAAACGTAGAAAGTGGGATATTGTATACTCTACTGTAGTTGGTATGGCGGCAGGAGCTCTTAGTGTTACAGCTGTTGCTATTTTCTTTGGATAAACACTTCATCTCGTTAGATAGCCAAATAATTTTATTGGTTTTTTCCCTATGTTTTTTCCTTCCTCCCGGATATATAAGTAAATATCGAGAGTATTTTTTTTGTTTTATTTTTACTCTGATTTTGAAAATTGATCGCTTTGGTGTATAGAGAAATGAGAGCGGTTATATTTTAATTTCTCTTTAAATATGTATATATTGTAGCTATATTTCAAGCGATCTTTTATATAAATCAAAATTTTCCTTGTAGAATTTAATTGGTATCTCGGTGTGTATTAAGGTTGTCAATAGTTCCAATGATTTATAATAACATTTTAAAAATTCTTTAATATCTATCATATATAGTGAGTTGTAATTGATATTTTGTTTCTCAAATTATAAATCAATTGATTTAATTTTATTGTAACAAAAAATTATATAAATATAAATATAAATTTGTAAATTGTAAATTTGATAAAAAAATCTTAATAAATCCTTATTGGGATAAATTAAAAATCAAGATTATCGTTATCAAATAAAATTCTTTTTTAAAAAAAAGGTCCGTGTAACGAATCTGATCACCAGACCAAATTTGTTTTTATTCACTTTGATAAACATTCATTTTAAAGTCCCATTTTATTTTTTTTCTTTCTTGTTGGCATAATTTGACCGCCAACAGATTTTTTTTTTTTTTTTTAGCTTTTTTTATTTACAAATATAAGCTCTGGAAGTTTATTATTATTATTAAAAAAAAAATAAAAAAAAAATGCAGGTCACTCCCTTAATATTTTTAAGTTTGTTATTATTTGGTGAGTTTCTTTTGTATAAAATTTTTTTTCTTTTAATTATTATTTTTTTTTATTGATTCCAATCTTTTAAAACGATTGAACAGTCGTTTTTTATTATCGACAATTTATACTTTTATATTTCCCAAGTATAAATCGTCGTTATCAACGATTACCTACAGTGTTTTCTTCAAATTCATTTCAAAATGATATAGAAAATGGACTAACTTCGGAAACCTTTGATCTTGAACAAAATATAATTGAAGGTGATTCAAGACCAGGTTTGGAAGATTCTGAAGAAATTAAAAGAATAATGGAAGTTGAACATGTTAATTTTGATCAAGCCAGATTAATTAGACAACAAAGAAAATTCAAAACCAATAATATTGATCCACAAACTGGTTTACCGAGGGATCCAAAATTAGTTACATTTTCATAAAAAAAAAAATTGAATTTAATATCATACGTTAAAAATCATAACTTAATTCTTATATAAAATAATTTGTAATGGTGGAACCTTTACTTGTTTGATTTCGAATTCTGTTTATTTTGTAATTGCAAATTTCAGGTTTTCCATTACACTTTTTGTTTTTGTTTGGCGGGGGATGTTTTGTTAACAAATAAGTTTGTAAACCCAAGCAATGCAAATGATTATTCTGTATTATGTAATTTACAAAAATAACTTAAACGAAAAGTAAAGCAATAAAGTTGTTCCTTCAACGCAATCAATGTAATTTATTTTTCAGATGTTACTAAAAAACAAATTTCATTCATTTGATTATGCTAATTTTGAAATAGTGATTTTTTCACTTTTTAATTAAAAGAAATAAAGAGAATTTACATTAATATACCAAATAAAATAATTTTTTGTGAAATAATGTTTAAATGCCAAAGCTAAAATGCAGCATACTATTCAAGGGAAATAAAACCAGCCAGAATCTGAGGTAAAACCATATTAAATTTTTTTAAAAAATGAAGTTACCACCAAGGCTTGCTATCTAAATTAGATGTTTGAGCATCAGATCTTCGCACGTTTGATCTTGTCGATTGTGTAGGTGATTCTTGGTTTCTTGCCCAGTCATCATCACCAGAACTCTTATTATAACTTTCATTTCTCCACTTATCTCTTGGCTCGTTGTTACGACCTCGCGAACTTTCATAATCACCATTTCTTGGCTCGTTATTACGACCTCGCGAATTTTCATATTCACCATGTGCCACTTGAATGTTATCATTAGTATTCATATTCTTCCATCCGAACTCATCAACGTTTTTGGGTCTATTATTAGTATTATTCCATGTCTTTTCTGATTGCCAATTACCGGTATTATTATTATTATTATTATTATTATTATCATACTTTCCAGGTTTATCTCGAATACCCCAAGAAGTGGATGTTACATTGCGTTCATTACCCCGATCATAATAATCATCCCGTTCACGAGGATTATCTCTACCCTTGGACCAAGACGATTCTCTGTTTCCTCCTCTGTTCCTTGTGTTTTCTTGAGAATAAGTATCGCCAACTTGTTCTTGTTGCGTGTTCCAAGCTGGCTTATTCCATGAAGTCTCATTTGCCCATCCACCGCTGTTGTTGTAATTTCCTCTATCGTAATCTCCACCACTATTGCTATCAGCAGTACAATCTTTTGACATGTGACCTTCTTCGTTACATTTATAACATTTCCGTCCTAACAAATGTACAAAAATTTATTTATAAATAAATATAATATGATAAAAATACTGAGCACCTATTCTTACCGCCTCGTTTTGGTTCTGGACAGTCGCGCGCTGGAATTAAAAAACTTTATTTAATTTAAAATAACATTGAACAGATAAATGTTAAAAAATAACTAACTACTCTTACATATATGCCCTTCACGATTACAATTATGGCTATAATATAGATAATAATTTATTAATTTATTAAATTTACACACAAAAAAAAAGGGTGGGCATTTCTTACCAGGTTTGGTTATTTCGAAAATTTTTTTGATCATCTTCACCATCGTTACCTGAAAAATAATAATTGATATGATGAAAAATTTTCTTTAAAAAAAAAAAAAAAGTCCAAAAGAAAAAAAAAAATATGTACCTTTTTCTTCACAATCGCGAGAAATGTGCTCAGTTGAACCGCATTTGAAACTAAGATTTTCAAAATTAATATTTAATAAGAATAATAAATTCAGTGAATACGCAAATAAGATAATTACCATCCTGTAGAAACTTTACGATCACGAGCTAAATAAAATAAATAAATAAAATAATGTTAATAAAATAAAAAGATTTAGGAGGAAGGAAAAATGAATATTTTAAAGTTCCAATTAACCTTCTGCATAATAATCGCGTCGTTCTTCTTGGCAATATCTAAGGACATAAAGATTAAATTATAAAAAACATGAAGATTTGAATAAACAAGAATAATTGTATATTATATATAATACTTTGTAATATGTTCGGATGATTTGCAATTTTGACATGTTAAGTATGTATGTTTTTCGATCTCTTTCCTAGGTTCTGGACATTCCCTATGAAATCAAAAAAGAAAATTGGTTGAATATTAAAATATATAAATGAAATCTATCAAAAAAAAAAAAAAATGAGTACCTTGAACTATGGCCTTTTTGTTTGCAATTGAAGCAGAGTGGCGAAACCCGATCATCCACTATAAAACCTGAATCAGCTAACCATCGAAAATTCTCGTCCTCATTTTGAGCGCGATTCCCGGCTGTACGAGCGAGACGGGACGGATGGCCCATTATTATCCTAGCGACATACTTTTCTTTGATATTTCCCTGAAGATCTACTAAAACCTGAGTAAATGGTATTTCCGCGCGTTCCTTTAAAAAGATAATATTTTTTGTTAACTAAATTAACATTATGAATATCAATTATGAATAAAACACTTACCAATGCAACAATTCTGCCATTACATTTTGAACCTCTTAGTTTCTTTTCAATCGACTGGAACGTATCCTCTGGAGCCGTCTTTGCGTATATTTCAAACGCTTCTTTGAAATCATCGGCATCTTTTGATTTATCAGCTTCAAGTAATCTTTGCCATGCCTCTTCAGATGAAATATCGGGATGTTTAGAATTAGAAACTAATAAATAAATAAGATGTTAATACGCGTAATTATAAAATAGGTCATTAAATATTTTTTTACAATTACATGGACTATGAGTTGTCGGACGAGGTCGTGATGGAGCACCGCTGAATCCACCTTCTTCGGTACATTCAGAAGAACGATGTCCAGGTTGTTTGCATTTGTAACTATTATATTAAGTAAGGTATTAGCTTAATCCTGACGAATAATCAAAAAATTTTAATTTAAAATCATACCAAGTGATGCTTCCACCTTTACCACCGTAACCGCCATAACCACCATAACCACCATCATCCTCTGTGGTTTCATGCGCATCCTCTTTACAATCTTGTGGACGATGACCTGGTTTATTACACTTATAGCTAAATACACAAGAAATGATTTAGTTAATGCTATTTTTTTTGGAAAACGATCATAATTATATAGCAATACACACCAAACACTACCGCCGTTGTTATAACTTCCGCCATATCCTCCGCCATATGCACCTCTACTACTTTCTTCGGTACAATCTCTGGAGATGTGTCCTTCTTTGCCGCATTTGTGACACGTTTTTGCACCAGCGTATCCACCACCGTACCCGCCGCCGCCTTCGGTACAATCTCTGGAGATGTGTCCTTCCTTACCGCATTTGTGACACGTTTTTGCACCAGCGTATCCACCACCGTATCCACCGCCTTCGGTACAATCTCTGGAGATGTGTCCTTCCTTGCCGCATTTATGACACGTTTTTGCACCACCATATCCACCACCATATCCGCCGCCTTCGGTACAATCTCTGGAGATGTGGCCTTCCTTGCCGCATTTGTGGCACGTTTTTGCACCACCATATCCACCGCCGTACCCGTCGCTTTCGGTACAATCTCTGGAGATGTGTCCTTCTTTACCGCATTTGTGACATGTTCTTGCGCCACCGTAACCGCTACCACCACCGTAACCTTGTTTCTTCTCACGACATTCACGAGCAAAATGACCTAAAGAAATAAGAAATTTGGAAAGGATTAGAAATAATTGAATAAAAAAATTAAAATGGAAATCGAATTTCTAGAATCTTAAAAACCTTCTTGTCCGCAGTTTCGACATTCACGGCTTCCATGACGATTATTATCATAAGAATTATTTGCGCTCCCACCATATGAATCACCATACGACCCACCATACGAATCTTCCACTTTATCATTATTCGATTTCCCCCATGGTGTTTCTTTTATTTCATTGCTTACTCCTAACTCCTTGGCAAATAAAGCCGCCTGTTTGGTCCAGTCATTCGACGAGTCTGAGGGTTTAGAAGGATTTCCACCCCATGAATCAACTACATTTTGCTGTTCAGGCTGATTGGCTGTAGCATTCCCTTTGTTCGTCGCACCCCATTTTTCATTTGATTTTGGAGCTTCTTGTAGCGGTTTAACAGGTGCTTTTTGAGGAGTAGCAGCACTCCAACCAACATCGTGAACTGGTGGAGGGATGACAGCCCAACCATTATTTTGTGCGGGAGTTTTTTGGGGAGACGGGGAAATTTGTTGAGGAATTTGTTGAGGAGTTTGTTGAGGAGCAGCAGAACCCCAACCAACATCATGAACTGGTGGAGGGATGACAGCCCAACCATTATTTTGTGCGGGAGTATTTTGTGGAGACTGGGGAATTTGTTGAGGAGTTTGTTGAGGAGTTTTTTGTTGAGTTTTTTGAGGAGCAGCAGAACCCCAACCAACATCATGAACTGGTGGAGGGATGACAGCCCAACCATTATTTTGTGCGGGAG